GGCCTCCACAGCTCTGATGACAGGCACATTACTCTTTTCATGAAATTTGCCATGACTTTTATACTCTGAGATGTGGCTAGATCTCTAATTTGAGCTCAGGAATTGTTTTTGTTTTATTAGCATAAACCCGAGATTTCACAAAACCATAAAGAAAAAAATCGTTATATCGCACGATCTTGGTGGCCAGTTGACATCAGAATTTCCTGAGATAATGTGTTCTGGAAATCGTTGCTGCAATATGTCGATTGTTTCATGCGTTGTGTGGCACCATCCTGCTGAAACCATATATTGTCAGATTCATGCCGTTCAGTTGAGGCACCAAAAACTCCGTCATCATATTCCTGTAACGAATGCCGTTCACAGTCACTGCAATTTTGGCTTCATCTTAAAAAAAGTAAGGTGGGCCTCATTTTTTAAGATGAAGCCAAAATTCAAGCCGCCTGAAAAAAAAATCAAGTGACTAGTCCGATTTTTTAAAGTTTGGTTTAGCTTAAATTATAGTTAAGTGTAGGGTTAAGCCAGTTGGCAGTCTTTTTTAGAATACAATGATGTCTGTGCAAATATTTTTTTAGGTTTAGGTAACTGCTGGGGAGCAGTGCTCTCTTTTTAAGCCCTTTTTAAGGGTTTCGTACCTCAAAAGGAAAAAACAGAACCGTTTTAGAATCCCTTTGTTGTCCGTCCGTCTGTCTGTCCGTCTGTGTCTTAAGACACTTTATCTCGGGAACGCGTCAAGGTATTAAGTTGAAATTAAAGCCATATACTCAGGTTTACAGTCCTTTGAAGCTGCGAAAAAATCAAACTTCTATGTTAATGCAAAAAAAGTATATTTCTACACTCTCAAGGGAATCAAAATTAATGGGTACTTCCTGATGACCAAGAACTATGAAATTTGGCAAGCAACATCGACTTATTCTACAAATATAGAGAAAATCATAAAACTATAGATACATTTGTACTTAAATCATAAAAAAATTAGTCTTTATTTAAAGTAGGTAATCAATAATCGAGAAACAATGTCACTTATAACACACAATAACACAAGTAATTATACACACAAATTTAAACTCGATTTCTGAACTATTTTTTATGTATACCTACAAATTTGTACAGAACTCTCGGTGGATGAGTCAGACTAGCACCTGTCTGGCTTTTTAAAACTTTAATCGTTTCTAATGATTATTTTACTGAAAGGCAGTTAACACATTTTGCCTTTACATCATCGGTATAAGTTTAAGACACTTATCCGATGTATTTTTCTAGAATCAGGTATGCATGTAAAGAGGACGAAATGCATTTCGTCTTATTACTTATTTTAGAAAAATGTTCGTGAGATTTGGGCTGCCTAAAGAGACTACTATCGGATACTAGTTCTCTGTCTTCGAGTAGCAAAAGTAATAATAGTATATTCATGTGTAGAAATCGTATTAGGTAAACACTCTCGCTTGTCTAGTAGCCATCCTCTGCTGGAGCGGCAGAAGACGCAATAAAATTGTAAAGACATTATTACAGTGTGGACAAAGTGTAGAAACAGCTTAACAAACATACTTGTTCGCTTATAGAAATACAATTACAAAGGGTGTGTGTACTCTGAAATCTTTAGAGCATTACAGAACAAGTGTATTAGCGGTAAGAAACAAGTTACAATATTTACCTATGGGTGCAATGCCCACAGGTAAATATTTGTAATATATTTATACACCACGTTATCAAATATTATTCTTCAAAATATACATAACACCAATTTGTAGATATTTTTGCATATGTATTACATGTTGTCTGGTCAATGGAACTATATGGTTCATAAGTGCGTAGCGGCAATCGGGCCCCGCCCGAAGAGGTACGTGAGTGGCGTAAGGCCGCTTACTGAGCCACTATGGGCCTTTCTTTGGGGGGGCCCCCGGTCCCGGGGGCCGGAGGCTTCCCACCCTGGCCCGGGCTGTTTTTTTGCCGGGGTTAAAAGGGGGGCTTCAAGGGAAACCGGTTTCTTTCCCGTGGGTTTTTTTGGGAAAGGGTCCCGGCAAGGCTCGGGCCCCATCCTTTTTCCCCTTTCCCCCCAAAAAATTTTGGAAAAACCCGTAGGGCTTTTTTTGGGGAAAAAAATTGGGGGCCCCCCGGTAAACCCCAAGGTAATTTCAGTAAAAAGGGGGCCTTCCGGTTTTCCGTCAAGGGGTTTTTTAAACCAGGGGCCCCCGGCGGGTTCCTCTTTTGGCCTTTTCTTTTTTGGGTTTGACTTAAGGGTACCCCTGAAAAAAACCCCCAACCCCGGTTTAGGGAAGATTTTTCAAGGGCGGCATTTTCCCCGGAATCATTTTTCCCCCGAAATGAACCCAAAAAGGGCGTTTTTTTGGGTTTTATTTACCGCCCGGTCATTCTTCTTACCGCCCAAAAGGGGGAAAGGAAACCTTTTTCCCCTTTCCGTGGCTTGGTCCAAAAGGGAGAGAGGGGCTGGGGGGATTCCCTCTTTTGGCCTTTTCCCCCCCTTTGGGGTGGGGGTTTTGGGAAAAAACCCCAAAAAAACCCCCGTTGGGGGAAGGGGGAAAATTTTTCTTTGGCAGATTTTTTCCCACCGGGGAAAAAGGAAATCTTTTAAATCCGGTCAAAAAAAAAAGGGGGGGGTAATCCAAAAAAAAGGGTGTTTTTTTTTAAAGCCCCCTCGCGAGGCCCCTTGGGGCAGTTTTTCCTTTAGGCCCGCCCCAGACGGGGGCCGGAAGGGAAAAACCTTCTAAAAAAATTCCCCTTTTTGGGTTCCCCTGGTGGGGCCCAGGGATGATCGTGGGTAGTTTTTTTCGAAGGGGACCTCCAGCCAAGAAACCTTGCGGGGACCGTTTCTTTTGGGAAACCCCAAAATTTCACGCTTTTTTCCCGGGTTTTTAGGGGTTTTTCTCCCAGGTGATTTTTAATTTTTTTTTTCCCCTTTTTTCGTTTTTTTTAAATTAGGATTTTTTTTTTTCCTCTGGGGGGAAAAAAACTTTTAAAAAATTTTTTAAAAAAATTTCCACCCAAAAAACCCCCCGGGGAATTTTGGGCAGTGTTTGGTTTTCCGCGAAAGTTCCGCCGGGGTTTTTTATGGGGGAATTTTTACAATTGTTTGGGATCTTTTTTCCCTTTTTTGGGTGCCCCAAGGGAGGTTTTTTTCGTGCAGGTCTTTTCTAAGGCGGAAGCCTACAGACGGGTCAGCCTACGCTAGGGGGTTCTGTCCCCGAAACATCGGTGTCCATGCAGGATAGGGCGAACGTAGCTGTGGCCATCATAAACAAGGTGGCCACGAAATCTACGAACCTTAAGAGTCAATTTGTGGGGGCCCTTAAGGACTCCTGCTCCGCCATTGCCGGGGTTGTCTCGACCCTCAATGGGGACGTGGCTCGCCTTCAGGCCGCTAACGACCGCCTGACGCCTGACCGCCGCAGGTGGCTGAGCTGAGCGCTCAGTTCGCGATGCGACGCGAGCGATGGTCCTATCCTATGCGACGCCATCATTCACTCGTGGCTGTCTCCGCAGGCCCCGACCGAGGAGGTCGACATGGGGGCTGGTCGCTTTCGCGATGCGATAACGCAGATCTGCAATGCGGGCCATGCTCCGCATCCGAGGTCGTTGACCTCCAAGGAAGGAGGTTTACTGGTTGTCCCAAGAGTTGGCGGACCTCCGCACGGCCTGTACTCGTGCCCGGAGATCCTAAACCCGCACTCGGTGGCGTCACCGTGGAGACGGTGAGGAGGATCAGCTTCATGAGGAGTATCGAGAGGCGCATTCTTCCTGTCGTCTCCGGCCAAGGAGGCAAGGAGAGTTTTCCTCTCCTTGCCTCCTTGGCCGAAGACGACAGGAAGAATGGGGGTGATGTTCCTCCCGTAACGTATGCGCGGGTAAGGGCGGCTGTTCTCATGTCCGTTCCAAGAACACCGCTCCCGGGCCAGATGGGATACCTGCTCGAGTGCTGGCGATAGCCCTCGACCATATGGCAGACCGCCTCAGGGAGGTGTTCGACGCTAGTTTGGTACTCAGACGTTTCAGCTGGTCCTGTTGAGGAAGCCGGGATGGACGGATTCGGTCGAGGCCTACAGGCCCATCGTGTTGCTTGACGAGGCGGGTAAATGATTTGAGAGGGTACTCTCTGCCCGCATCGTCCGACACTTCTCCGAAGTGGGCCCTGGGGGCCAAGTGCGAGTTTATTCCACTTCTACTCGATCGCCACGGTGACCGCGTTCAGCGCTACGATTGTCCCGCGCTGAAATCTCCACCAATCTAAACGCGTTCGCCATCGAGAGCGAGTCGATATGAAATAAACTTACACTCAGTCCTCTGATCTGTCGGACGCCCCATTCGGATTTCGAGCGGGGCGTTCGACGATCGGCGCTGTGTTGCCCCTCAGGTCCGTGACCGATGAGGCCGTGGCGGCGTGCTGTTGGCGGTGTCGTTGGACATCGCAAACGCATTCAATAGTCTGCCATTCAGCTGCATCAGGGAAGTACTTGAGATTGCTATTATCACTAGCGGCAAGTTATGTGGAAGATGGGTCAAAAGATATTCGGCATTACAAAATGTAAAACTCAAACCAGAGTTGGGTTTTCTGTGTTCAGTATAACTATTATTACCAAATGATTAACTTTAGGAAAAGTGGGAATATGTTATATCCCGGTGTAATAACAATAATCTATACCTATACTATAAATGTGAAAGTAAGTTTGTTTGAACTGAACTGAACCACAAAGCCAATTAAAAAGATTCTTTCATCGATGGAAAGCTACGTTACACATAGCCTACTTTTTACCGCGATATCAAACATACATGCGGACAAAGGTTAGTATTAAAATAAAGTATTTTTTAAATTACTTATTACGTTTTTTGGATGTACACTGATATTGTTGAAAATGTCAGTGTTTTCGGATAATAACGTAGTCATGACGGATGTCTCCCGAACGTTTTGGTCAATTTTTTTTAAATAATAAGAATACTCGTAATCGAATTAGAAGCAGAATTGAAGTCCATTAGTACTTTGCGCAAGCCTAAAATTGGCCAGAATCAACAATGACAGAAAACTTATTGTCGGCCTCTGCATGATGAGTGTGCACAGCAAGAGGGTTCTGGAAACACAAAATAAATTTGTAAACGAAAGTTTAAGCAGCAAATAGCAAATGCTATAATCCTAGCAGGTTATTACTGAAATAAGGTTAGAAGTAAATAGTATATTAAATTCCAATCATCTATCTAGTTTTCTTACTTTTGGCCCACCAATAACTTTATTCAGGGAACGCAAATGCTTGTGTCAGTTTGTCAAACTGATCCGTTGTTTTTGCTAGGGTAATCAGATTTTTTAAAGAACTGGTGTTGGTTTTTATGAACAAACATGAAGACAACTCGAAATGTTTAAGATGGGATGGGACGGGACTGTATTTCTTAATTAAACTGTATTTAGAACTGTATTTAGACACAGAGGAGAATGAAAAGAACAAACAGTTTTTGCTTTAATCTTGATTATATAGAGTAATTTTTTTCATGTAAAATTTATATTTAATAATATTTTCATCTTTTATTACTCAAAAATGAGAGTATAATATTGTTTAGTTACTACATTTGTCAATAAGAACAATTAAAATTTGCGACTCTAAAGAATTTAAAAAACCACTCACACAATTTTTGTATTAAAAAGAGGAATGAAAAACTGCTTATTCAATTAAATCATGATTTGATAGCATACCTATTGCAACGTAATAGTGACTATAGGTGCTTGAATTTAATCTACCTTTTGATATTTTTAAGTACTCTATCTTCCTAGTTCTATTTTCTATTCTCTTATAATGTATGTCAATAGGGATCCCTAACCGTAAAGAGCAATGTTGTGGTAAAATAAAAGCAGTTATTTGAATAACCATATTTTATTATTTTATTAAACCATATATATCGAAATACATAATATTGCTGTTGTATTATACATACATTCTATAAATGGCGTCAGGACTACTAGACGGAATAAGTTGACTTAGGACTGGTTTTGAGCAAAGTAAGCTGGAGTGTTGAGCTGGTAAGGAAATACTTGTCCTTTATGGTAAATTTCAACTTCTTTAAAGAACATGTTCGGCTGTTTAAAGTAAGCTCCGTTCACGGGGCGGTCAAAGGGATAGCCGAAAGGTTTGTTGTCCACGACAAAGTTACTGAAGAAATCATCTTGTTTGGTAACACCATTGAATGGGTAAACAAACACAAACAGCTGGAAGGGATATCCACCATGAGTACCCTTAGGCAGCATTATTCTATTGGGCTTATTGTAAGGAATAACAGACATATCATAAGGAACCTTTCCTTCTTCTAGATACTTGTAAATCTCACTTGTGGGTAAGCTGTCTTCCTTAAAGAATGCAAACTGGCTAGATTTTCGTTCCACGTTGTTGACTCCTGGAGTAAGTTTGTGTACAAAAAAGTCCAATTCGTAGAATTTCATCCAGTCTTCTTCAACGTTCACTGGATACCCGTTACTATTATATTTAGGTCCGATGAAGATTTTGAAAACTGCATTAGTAGCTACATCAGATTTCATTTCGATGTTGACAGAGAAGGCTTCGTGGTTCAGGCGAGGCTGACGGATCAGATAACTATGCTTATACTTTGCCAACTCCTTAGCAGAAAACACCATGCTGTTCGTAGCATTAAAGTCAAAGTAATCGAAGTAGGTAACAAGCTTGTCAACTTTGACGTCATTGATCTTGACACCAACGAAATGTAGATCATCATGACCGTAAGGTTGCAGATACTGCATAAAATGAATGAAATAATCAACGATTCTTTGATACAGCTGGTAGAAGGCGGGGTCACGCAGAGAAGTTTGGTAATAGTCGAGAGCGCTTGGCATGAAGTTGTACCTAGAAAAAAAAAACATTTCATTATTCTCCTTTAACTCAAAAAATAAAAAAACAGTTAATAATTATAATTTTTATTATAGAAATGATTAATAGCAACTTACTTGTCATAAGGCTTGGGACTTCCACTGAGGACATGACGGGCAGTAATTTCGTAGGAGCGTTGGTAATTTTCGATGTCGGCCCCTATAAACGTGCAAGAATTGGCCCCCTTTAAAACAAATGGGAAGCCCGCTGCAGTTGTTGGGGAGAACCAAAATTTTTTAACGGGAAAGAACCCGGGGAACTGGTTTTAAAGCAAATGGGTCCTTTTTGTAAGACCCCAAGTTTAGGGAAAAAGAATAACCCCTGGGTTTTTTGGGGGAAAACCGTTTTTTTGGGCCCCCCAAAAAAATTTTAATGGTTTTTTAAAATTAAAACATTTTAAAATTTTTTTTTTTTTAAACAAAAAAAAAAAAAAAAAAAAAAAAAAAAAAAAAAAAGGGGGGGGGGGGGGGGGGGGGGGGGGTTTTTTTACTTAAAATTATAAGGGGCATAAAAAGGCCTTTTTTTTTAAAATTTTTTTTTCTTAAAGGGCCCTTTTTTTGCCAATTCATTTTGGTTTAAAATAGAAAAAGTTTTTTTAATTTATTTTCCTTTTTTTAAAAAATTTAAAAATATTTTTTTTCGGAGTACAGATCAGCGTTGGTCTGCCAGTAGTTACTGACGAAGTTAATAGCCTTTGGGTTCGTGAAGTCAATCACCTTGTCGAACTGTAATTATTTCAATTTTGTTAAAATGCGCTTTAATGAGAAAATAAGTTGATATTAAATAATACGTACAGCCTTGAAATGGCCCTGTTGCAAGTATTGGAAGAAGGTCTTCTCGTAAGCGTCCAAGAAACGGACGGGCTCGAAGTTCTTCTCACTATGAACGTCATAGTAGTTGCTCCTCTGAGCAAATGGAACGTAACCCGCTGTCAGTTGTGGGTAGTAACCATTCTTGAACGGTAAGAACCAGGAGAACTCAGGAATTTCACCCAGTCCATTGACAAGTCGCTCCATGTTGTAACGAGCCAACAGCTGCTGGTAGAAAGAGAAGTAAATCTCTCCACGGCGTTCTTTGAATTCACCGTATTTTTCGGAGCTCCACCAGAAAGGTAGATGAGTGTGGAAGTAGTAATAATAGGCATTTAAACCAATGTCTTCAGTGAAGTACGCTAGCTTCTGTTCAACGTTGGGATAGGTAAGGGAGCTGGAATAATTGGCATAGAACACGTAGTTATTGTTTTCTTTTACTATGCCATGTTCAGAAGCCCACTTTTCAATGTTGTTAAAATATTTTGCGTATTGCTTATAGAAAACATCCATGTTGAAGAAATATTGAGGATATATTTCATAAGGAGCTGGCAGTACGATTCCATGCGTATCAGGTCTCTGAAGTACGGCAATATAATACACGTACAAGAATTGTCCTTGATTAAGGTACACCTTAGCCCATGCTGCAGTGTTGTAGAAGGTTTCAAAGTCTTTAGCGTAGTACAAGACGTGGAAGAGAGCAATGGCTTGATCCCTCATATGTTCATAGAAGATTGAAAACTCGTGATTTTTGGGCAAGAAACCAGCTTTGTATAGGTTCAAGAACTCTTCAACTGCTTTCTTGTTCTGTAACACATTACATTATATTTTTAAACAGATTTTTACAATTAAGGCATAAGGCATTTCTAGCTATGCCATCATAGTAAATATTTATTTATCTGAAAAATAAAAATTTTACTCACTGTGTACTTGTCGATGTTAGCTTCAATGTTGTATTTCAGGCCAACCTTGTGGCACTCTGCCGTCTGGTCGTTTTCTTCTACATGTTCGAACAGAGAGAGTACTTTCTTTTGCTTTGAAGCGAACTCAGCATCAACTGTTAAAAAAAAACATTCGGTTCTTAATCTATAAGTAGATTTCTAGTTTAGCCCGCGGCGCCGCCCTCATGTATGTAGGTTGTCGCAATAAAACTAGCACATAGCTCTGAGGCATATATACATAACATATCCTTTATAGCAGCGAAAGAATTTTCAAAATCGGATCACTAGTACCTGAGATTACCACGAACATAAAAACAAACTTAAACTCTTTATAATAATTATAAGTATAATTAGGATAAAGCGATGCCAAAAAAATATTTTGTATGATCTTACTATCTTTACAGAAATCAAGACCACTAATAGATCCAGCATTAAGCTTTAAGTACGCAAGCTCTACAGAGATTTGTTGAAGGAGTCATCAGAATAACACTTTATTATACATGTAGTAGTACTAGTATGTCTCTAAGTATAATACACTTTTAGGATACTTTTTGTAACATGTGCTAATTTAGTTTGACATCTTACTAGTTTCAAATATACACCTGCCCAACACATAACTCTGCAATATTTTAAAGGTTTGACTGGCAGAAAATGCCAAAGCATTAGGTCCTCCTTATGTAATATATTTGCATTAAATTTAAATAAATAAATAATTGCAGAACGACTTACTGGAATGAAATGAAATATACGGAAGCTACGTGCAGAACTGTTTATCAGACATTGTATAAAACACAAAATTTAAAATATCATTCTCTATGAAATTTCTTACCAGACTTAAACTTGTGGTCATGTTTTGGGACGGCCACACCCAAGGTGAGGGCCACAAGCCCGATGAGGATCAAGGCAGTCTTCATTTTTCCACAGCCGCTGTCAACTGTGTCATCTCAATCCGTACATGCAGTTTATATACTAATCCAAGCTTTACTTATCGCATTCGCTGTGCGTAACACCTACTTACGTGTGCTTGACCTTCTCACTGCGCTTTATATTTTTGATTTGAATGTATCATTTTGATCACAATCTTTACAAGTCAGTGACCGCAAAAAAAAAATTTTTGATCAAAAGAAATTACTAAATAAACAGAAATAACTCAAAAAAACTAGACTTATTGAAATTTCATATTTAAATGTATAATAAATTGTGCGTCTGCATATGAATACTGCACTGGATTTTGTATCTGACAGTTGCCTAACAGCTCGACAAACGTGTCCGATGTCAGATTAAATTTTTAACCGATTTCAAAAAGTACTCTTTCGAGCACAAAGGGAACATGGGGGTTCCCACACAGGAGGGGGTCATCTACCCGCCGTAGATGACCAGAGGTACGTCGGGGTACCAGGTATTTCCTTTCTAGGGTACACCTGATTCCCTGGCTACTAGTATCCAAGAGGGCGTGTGGTTTTTGGTCGGTTCGAGTCCGACATAACCACCGTGGCTGGTATCCGAGGGAATTTCCGAACAGAAAAAAAAACCGGTCAGGTACGAATCGACCTCGTGATTTTTATACACCTAATTGGAACCATAGACCTCAGTATCTGGTATAAACTTGCTAGGTTTAACCGTTCCTGAGAACATCGGTGGTGACACGGACAGACGGACAAGAAAGTGATCTTAGAAGGGTTCCTTTTTTACCTTTTGATGTACGGAACTCCTTAAAAGAAGGTTGTCATTTCAAATGTTTGTTTTCTTTCTGTGTTTATCGAGTAAGCACTCCATCATTTATGAATTGATTTGGAAATTTATTTTTATTTAAATTATATTGTTGTATTTCTCGTTTAGTCCTTCTCAAATTAAAAAAATAAAATACCCTAATGGGTAAAAATTAAGGAATGAAGAATGAACATTATAACAATTCAGCACGACTATGTTTGATTATCTTTCTTGAGAGTTTCTATATAACACACACTGCAGTAACCTGAGGTCAACGGAGAATTTAAAACTATAAATGCCAAATCATTCCACCCAGTTCGCAGACAAATCCTTTGCTATCTAAGGAGTAACACTCTGGAACAACTTGCATGAGGCAATCCGACAAGCTAAACCCTTGGCTCTTATTAAAAGCTAGTGAGTAATATTTATTTATCATTATAAATACTTATGATTTTATTATAAAGAAACTGTGGCCTGCCACGCTTCGCTGTGGTAAATTTTGGCTGCATTTATGAGATCTTTCTCTGCATCGCCCAATCGGTCGCCTGGCAGATAATACTTTAGGCATTAGGTCCACCGATGTATGAATTTGTGCATGAAGCCATAAATAAATTTTAAAAAATGAAGAGAAATGAGGAACAACAGTACAGTGTAGTGAATAAAGACAATCTGTGAAGCGGTTTGTATATCCTGTCACAATGTGTGTGTGCAAAAGTGCTGTTACAGAGCAGATGTGTCGCTGATATTTTCAAAATATTTTAAATTCACTGTAACCTATTCTAACTCATACCACAACCAGCTTAATGCATCATTTTGTAAAGTATTCTGAGCATCCCGCGCAAGCCTCGGTGTGGCCCTTTTCACTCCTTCGGGTAAGAGACGGGCACACTGCATCGCACGCGCAGCACACGTGAGTAGTAACAGTACATAGATATATAATCGACGGGTCCATTGCGCTTCTGGGAGGTTCTCAACCAAACTTATCAGAATATCACACAAACGATGTTTCGCAAATTACTATTCGTAGCAAACGTAAGTTACCTGATGACAATAAAGTGATTAGAAATCAGTTATCTACGCTACGAAAGCAAATGTACGATGTAATGACAATTTTAACGTCTCTTAACATTGACCCTTTGGTGTCTCTTTAGACAACATTAATAAACTGCTTGCTGATCTAAAGAATAAGGTCGAAAATATTAGTAATACTATCGAAAGTATCATTTTAGAAAACAAATATTTAAAAGCCGAAATAACTACTCTAAGGACTATGACAGAAACTACTGAAGAAAAAAAAAATAGAGGGCGATGTTAATAAACTTAAACTCAAACCAGCAACATCAGATCAAGCACAAGTATATCAAGAAGAAATTATAAAAGGAATTCAAGAAAGGAGAGTGCGTGCTACAAATATTACCAAACGCGACCAAATAAAATATGTTTCTCATCTGAAGAGACTGCTAAAACTATTTTGCGAAGTAGAATACTCGATCAGACCCCATATCAAAATAAGTACTTGCAAGACCTAAAAGAAAATCTACAGAAACGGACACCTAATGGCAAAACTGATCTCAGCATGATGATCGGCGAAACTGATGATACGTTAAGGTCACCCCGAAAATTATAAAATCTACAGACAATTCAATTCCTACTTCAAAAAACTAATTATGAATACAGAGAATACAGAGAAAATAATATGAATATAGAGAAAATATCATACCAAATTATTAATAATTACGAAGATATTCACAAAAAAATAATCGTGTGTGAAATGTGGAATTATTACTGGATGAATGGTCCAACAAAAAAATAATTTTTACATTTTTTTCGATGGAATTAAACTTTCCGAAATTCAATTCAAAGTGAAATCATTAAAAGTTACCGGATTTGATCCAAAAATTGTTTTTGATTTTTGATAAGCTTCGGTTAAAGGTGAGAAAAAGTGTTGATAATACTATCTCCTTTAAACATATTAATAGTTATCACGCGATTATTAAACGAACATTAAGTAATATTACTAACTCATTATCTATTAACACATATACAAGGTTCTAGATAACTGTGTCACCAGCGAAATTTACCAAAGAGTAATGAAATAATATTTTGTTATTACCAAAGAGTAGTGAAATAATAGTATAGCCGTATAGCCGTGTTGCAATCCAGCTCTAATATTTTTGACATTATTTTGAAAATTTTAATGTCTTTTTCAATGTGTAAAATCTCAAAAAAATGTAGAATAAAACGCTAAAATGCAGTTAAGTGATTTTAACTGTTGCGGCTGTTTAAAGTAAGCTACGGTCAAAGAAATAGCCGAAAGGTTTGTTGTCGACGTCAAAGTTACTGAAAAAATCATCTCGATTGGTATCTCACCATTGTATGGGTAAACAAACACAAACAACTGGAAGGGCTATCCTCCAGGAGTACCCTTAGGCAGCATTATTCTATTGGGCTTATTGTAAGGAATAACAGACATATCATAAGGAACCTTTCCTTCTTCTAGATACTTGTAGATCTCACTTGTGGGTAAGCTGTCTTCCTTAAAGAATGCAAACTGGCTAGATTTTCGTTCCACGTTGTTGACAGAGAAGGGTTCGTGGTTCAGGCGAGGCTGACGGATCAGATAACTATGCTTGTAGTTTTCCTTGGCAGAAAACACCATGCTGTTGACAAAGTTATTTTAACATCAGGGAAATGTCCACCACTTACCAAATCAGGCTGCTCCCACCTTCTATAAACCCACCTCTCGTCCCTTTGTAATGTGCGATTCTGAATATATCGGTCCACTCTTGTTTTATACATTCGTATACGGTTTGCCAATGCATAAACCTTCTATTTCAGAAAGTCAATGCGCTCTGTGACTCGTGCCATATAATCACAGGACCTGATACCGGTTCCCGAATAAGCCTGATCATTCTATTCTCCTTTATTATTATTATTATTTTGATTTTTAATTTCTGTTTTCTCACCTATTTAACTGGTTTCACCGTATTCACGAGTCTAAACCAAGTAAAAACAGCATGTGGTGTGTACATTATGTTAGTGTGGTATCATCTAACTGCATGAATTTTCTAACAATTCTACATGTGTGTAATATGTTGGCTTTCCGTAAACTTATCGAAACGAATTTTGATAAACCTAATTATATATATAAGAGAAGATTTTTTCCTAATTATATATATAAGAGAAGAGAGGAGGTTTAGAATGATACCAACCGTAGAGAGGACTATGGGACTATGTAGACGTTATGTTGTTTCCATATTCTGAGCACTTCTTTCAGGTCAGCATTCTTGCTCATTTTTGGAAATTGTTTTTTGTAAATTATTTGTGATCGGGACTGTAATATCTGTCAGATTTAGTTTAGATTTTCCTAATATAGACCGAGTCCTCCCCAGAGTAAGTAAGAACCTTAAGGTTGACCGAACGCCTGAATAGGGCTTTCACAGTTTGCGTTTATGTAAATTTAAATGTATATCTTGAACTTGAATGTAAACTTATATCGCGATAGGTCTTGCACTTTACGATTAATTGCCCGTAAATGACGAAAACAAAAGTACTTGACAGCGACATTACTTTGGTGATTATAAACATTTGGCTTTGGATTGCATGTCGCGGTGCATGTTACACTCAGGCGTATATTGTCGACATAACACAAGTCTTTTAAGACATCGGTTATCGCCTACTCTATTCTATGTCGTTATGTATGATTTAAGATTCTTTCTGAGATAGAACAAATAGGTAATTTTATTAGTATAAGTAAGGGCCTTGATGCTTTTTTAATTACTTTTTCGTCGTAACAAACTATTTGACGGGTCATCTGATGGAATGTGACTACCGCAGCCCATGAACGCCTGTAACGCAGGTCCGACCGACGAATAAGTCCGACCGCATTGAATATATAGAGAGTCGAGGTCATATACTTGTCGACTCTTTCAAACTGTAGAATTTTTATTTTTATGTTAGAGGGGGCCGACTAGCAAACGGTTTACCGGATGGAAAGTGGCTATCGGCGCCCATGAACGTATAACTCAGTAGTCAGTATGGAAGCAGTTTACTTAGAGAAACTTAAAGTAATTAGTAAATTACTTTAAGTTTCTCTACAAAAAGAGACTGACCCTCTAATAATCCCCTTTAGTTAAATTTTCATTTTTAATCCGTTTCATAAAATTGTTGAACGAGGCTGGACACTTTTTTGAGTCGTCTGAGGATGGGTCACGATTTTATCCATTAAAAATGTATTGAAAACTGTAGATTTGAGACGATTGACCTGTTGACAACATCAAGGCGTTGGTTGATAAATAATTGTGTGATAAGCATGATCATTTTGTTCTGTGTCTGGGTTTAATTTGCCATAAACCAGTGCTTTCTATTGGAAAGTTATCATAAGACAGGCTTTGCCTAATTTGGGATCATACTGCCGTGTGTGAGTTGTGAGAAGTTGTTATTTAAGTATTTATTTAAAACATTTACATCGTCTTTACAGGATCTTTATCCCAAAACGATACTTTAAATTTATATGTCAATAGGTATATATTCTACGAATTATTTTATAAAGAAAAATCATTTGCTGTAGTACACCTTTGGGCAACTTTTTTGAAGTTTGTTCTTCATTATATTATTATAGTTGTTGCTCTTGTTCTAAATTAGAACCTACTGAATATATGAATTATCTGGTTTTTACTGTTGACTCGTACATAAACTTTACTAAGCATATTGATCCCGACGGCCGGATGGCGTAGTGGTTTGTGTAACGGACTGCTACGCCAAAGGTCGCGGGTTTGATTCCCGCTCAAGTCAAGCATTTCTGTGCATTAACATTGATTGTTTGATTTGGTCTGGGTGTTTCTATGTATAATATGTATGTATTTACAAAAAAAAGTATATATGTGTTCATATCAGTTGTCTAGTATCCATACTCGTAGTACAAGCTCTGTTTAGTTTAGGACTGGATGGCGTTGCGTGAATGTGGTAAAATATTATAATTATATTGAATTACTGACTTGAAGAAGTCGCAACCTTATTGTAATGTAAAAATGAAAAGAAACGTTGTATATTTTGATCTGCTAAAGCAGATTTATGTACCATTTTGCCAGTCATAACTTCTAAAGTTACTAAAATAAATATGTATACATTAAATACCTTTATATTACATATCACATTTAAAAAGAATGTACATAACTACCTTCTTGTGATGGCGGAATTACCTGCTCAGTAGTACACCTCCTCATTTACAGTGTACGAATATATATAGTAAATGTATTATTTATGTGTATTTATAGGTATATTTGTGTATGTATGTGTGCAATTGTAAATGTTAGTAAAAACTTTAGAACTGCTATTACAACTGTAACCTCAGTGCACCTACCTTACCAGATTTCTACACCACCCAAAGGTTGGCTGGTAGAGAATCCAAGAGCCCAAGGCATTAAGTCTGTCGATGTATTCAAATGCATAAAGTTATAAATAAATACAAATTAGGAAATTGTCTAGTTTTCATTTAAACATAATGTTTCTCCATTTATAAACGCTCAATAAATCACCTCATACGCTTACACTCTTACCCTCGCTCTCAAGCACACACACACACACACGCACACACAAACACATACAAATTTTTTGAGCAAAGGGTATACTTTTGTTTTCAGTAATAAACTATTATTATTATTCTGATTTAATATTAACTTCATTACCTTCCCTACTATGTTCCTCGTGCTATATAGTTACTCAACTCTCTCTATGTTTACACAGTGTATTCATAGTTGATTATGACTACTTAATTTTTTAAATTTATTTATTTTATGATTTCAAAATTGTCCAAGTACTTTTACGCAGACAGATATGAATTTAATTATTTCTCTAGATAACGTGTCTGTGTGACTGTAATATGATGATTATTAAGTGTTCGATCAACTATAGAAATTTAAATTATTGGTGTTATGTAGATAATGGTTGGAACTAAATGCTGTTGAATGTATCTGAACTCTGGTATAGACAACAGCAGAAGTTATTAAAAAATAGATACCATACAAATATCAATAGAAATGAGATTGTCTACTTGTGTCTATTGTAATATGGATATAAAGGCAACTGAGTGCTTCCAAGAAATGTGATTTTCAATCATATAACTATTGGGTGATTGAAACAAATCAATAATTTAATAAATGATTTTATTGTACTCTAATTTTCACATTATTTGATAAAGTACATTCATCCTACAGGGTTGTTACATATAACTATTTGAGAGCTTAATTTTTTTTTGTCTGTGTTATTGGGGGCTCTTGAGTTGGTTAGGAAATACCTCGCCCTTATGATAGATTTCTACATCCTCGAAGAACATATTGGGTTGTTTAAAGTAAGCTCCGTTGACCGGACGGTCGAAGGGATAGCCGAAAGGTTTGTTGTCTACAATATAGTTCTTGAAAATTTCCTTGTCCTTGTTGACTCCGTTGAATGGATATACGAATACAAAGAACTGGAATGGATATCCACCGTGAGTACCTTTAGGCAACATCATTCTTCTGGGCATGTTATCGGGAATGAAGGACATATCATATGGAACCTTTCCTTCTTCTAAATGACTGTAGATATCAGTGATGGGTAGACTGTCTTCCTTGAAGAACATAAACTCACTTGATTGACGTTCCACCTTATTAACTCCTGGATTAAGTTTGTGTACAAACCAATCCAGTTCATAGAATTTCATCCAATCTTCCTCAATATTTACTGGGTAACCATTGTTGTTATATTTTGGTCCAATAAAGATCTTGAAAACTGCATCACTGGCAACATCAGATTTAACTTCAATTGAAACGGAGAAAGGCTCATGGCTAAGACGAGGTTGACGGATTACATAGCTGTGCTTATACTTTTCCAGCTCCTTGGCAGAAAACGTAATGCTGTTGGTGACATTAAAGTCAAAGTAATCGAAGTAGGTGACAAGTTTGTCGACTTTCACGTCATTGATTTTGACACCGACAAAATGAAGATCATCCTGACCGTAAGGTTGTAGATACTGCTTGTAATGGATAAAATAATCGACGATTCTCTGATACAGTTGGTAGAAGGCCGGGTCACGAAGAGAAGTTTGATAGAAATCTAGAGCGCTTGGCATGAAAGAGTACCTGAAAGTTGAAAATTAAGTTTAATTAAGTTTTTAAGTCTACTAAATATTTGTATTATTTATTATTAAACCAGAAGAAATGTTACGTAGTACGTAAGTCAGGATTACGAAGGCTGTTAGTAAAATTTTGGAGTGAGTTTCACTTACTTGTCGTAAGGCTTGGGACTTCCACTAAGGACATGACGGGCAGTAATTTCGTAAGAATGCTGGTAATTTTCAATATGCTCCTCAGAGTATAAGTCCGCGTTAGTCTGCCAATAGTTTCCAACGAAGTTGATAGCTTTAGGGTTGGAGAAGTCGATTTCTTTGTCGAACTGCAATGAATTAAGAACCACGATAATATTTAAACGTTACAAATGTACATAATTTACAAAACCAAGAAATGTATAATTAGAATAAACTTACAGCCTTGAAATGACCTTGCTGCAGATATTGGAAAAAGGTCTTTTCATAAGAATCCAAGAAACGAATGGGTTCAAAGTTCTTTTCACTGTGGACGTCATAGTAGTTGCTCCTTTGGGCAAATGGAAGGAAACCTGCGCTCAAATGTGGGTAATAACCAGTTTTGAATGGTAAATACCAAGAGAACTCAGGAATTTCACCAAGACCGTTAGAGATGCGCTCCAAGTTGTAGCGTGCCAACAATTGCACATAGAAGTAAAAGTAGATCTCACCGCGACGTTCTTTGAATTCGCCAAACTTTTCAGAAGTCCACCAGAAAGGTAAATGAGAGTGGAAATAATAATAGTAGGCATTCAATCCAATATCTTCAGTGAAATATGCGAGCTTCTGCTCAATGTTGGGATAACTAAGGGAGCTTGAGTAGTTTGCGTAGAAAACATAGCTGTCGTGCTCTTTCACAACACCGTATTCAGAAGCCCAATTCTCCTGACTGTGGAAGTATTTAGCATACTGTTTGTAGAAAACGTCCATGTTGAAAAAGTACTGAGGATAAAGTTCATAAGGAGCTGGCAGCACAATTCCGGAAGTATCAGGTCTTTGAAGTACGGCAATGTAATATGCGTACAAAAATTGTCCTTCATTAAGGTACAACTTAGCCCATGCTGCGGTCTTATAGAAGGTTTCAAATTCTTTAGCATAGTACATCACATGGAAGAGAGCGATAGCTTCATCTCTCATCTGCTCATAAAAGATAGAAAATTCATGATATTTAGGCAGAAAACCAGCTCTGTACAGCGATAAGAACTCTTCGACGGCTTTCTTGTTCTGGAAAGAAAAATATGATTAGAAGGTACTTCGTTGATCAAAAAAAAAAAAAAAAAATTATACTCACTGAATATTTGTCTATGTTGGCTTCAATATTGTAATTAAAGCCGGCCTTGTAACAGTCTGTCGATTGGTCATTTTCTTCTACTCTCTCGAAAAGGGAAAGCACTTTCTTTTGCTTTGCAACGAAGTCTGCATCAACTATTAAAATAATAAGAATGTTTTAATTACTGTGTGTAAATTATCTATTATACTCACTCTACTTCAGGAAAGTTAAAATAATTAAATTGCTAAACGTTTAAAGTATGTAATGCATTTAAACAATACATAGTTAGTTATTTATCTATAATATATATGTATTTAAAAATATATAGAACAGGCTCTGTCTAGTTTGGGATCAGACGGCCGTGTGTGAGATGTGTAAGATATATATATTATAGTTTCTAATTTATACTACTAATCATAAATCAAAGTACTTCAACATACTTTATTTCGACTAAAAAATCCTGAAAGTTAAATAAATTCATGTAATTGTATTCAGATGGTGGAGGGAACTGTAGCACGTTTATAAATTGTAGAAATGAAATAATGGAAGCTTTGTAGAGAAAGGTCCGGCAGTTACTATAATTTTTTTTATTGTAAAAGGGTAAAAATACAAGTGGCAGAACTAAGGTAATTATTTGGGTAAATTTATACAATATATGAAATAATGCATGCAAAATTAGTATAAAAATCTTACCATTCCTAAACTTGTGATCATGGGTGGCCACGCCAAAGGCGACTGCCACAAGCCCAGCTAGAACCAAGACAGTCTTCATCTTGCCACAGCCGCTGTCAAGTGTGCTATCTCTAGCCGTACATGTAGTTTATATACTCCCTGATGCTAATTAAGTTCCTTGCACTGTGATCTTAATAAAAATATTGTGCGTTACTTATCTTTATCTCTACACCTTTATCTTGACCTTTTGGAAAAGAAAGATCAGTACGCTATATGTATGTATGAAGTAAAGAGAGTGTGAAAACCTAAACCTTAAAACTGGCACAAGGTTAAAATCAACAGTTGACCTAAATAAATGAAATTAAAAATTATATGAAATTCGATAACAATTTGATTAAAATTAATAAGGATTTTAATGAAAATCTTTGATATTGTTAAAAAAATGTAAAATAACAGGAAATACTTGCTAACAATTGAAAAGGCTGACTACATCATGGGGTGATAATAAAATAGTCTATAGTCATATGCTTTATCCTGTGAATAATATTACTTAATAGCAATTTTACAGCCATGAATAAATTTATTTCAAAACTCAGTAAAAGCTACAATGTAAAATAGAAGTCGCTAAGTGCCAACCACGGAGCAAATACAAATTTGTATCCGTGGTGCCAACATAGACAACACACTATTAAATGTCCTTTTAAAAATGTTGCCTCATACATGGATATTTAGATAATTTTTCAGTTGCAAAATACTAAACAACTTATTTCTTTACAATAATGATTCTAGTTCAATGAAAAGTATCCTAAATGTTTTAATTTACGAGTACTTGCAGTACTGACAATGATTGCAGTAACATGATCAAAATGTCAGATAGTCAAAAAATCCCTGAAAGTTAGGTACAAATGATTCCATAATACTTTTAAAGCATGAATAGAATTTCGTTCATCATCATCATCATCATCATCATCAGCCTATCGCAGTCCACTGCTGGACATAGGCCTCTCCCATTGCACGCCACTAAGATCGATTTTGGGCTTCTCGCATCTAGCTCCTGCCAGCCATCTTGCGCAAATCGTCACTCCACCTGGCCTGTGGACGTCCTAGACTACGTTTACCGAGAAGCGGTCTCCACTCAAGAACTCGTTTTCTCCAACGGTTGTCGGTTCTGCGGCTAATATGGCCAGCCCACTGCCACTTCAGCTTGCTGATCCGGTAGGCTATGTCGGTGACCTTAGTTCTCTGCCGGATCACCTCATTTCTGATGCGATCCCTTAGAGAAACGCCGAGCATAGCCCTTTCCATAGCACGTTGAGCGACTTTGAACTTGTGGGCCAGCCGTACTGTAAGTGTCCACATTTCAGCTCCGTATGTCATGACGGGTAGGACGCACTCATTAAAGACTTTCGTCTTAAGGCACTGTGGGATCGACGATGAGAAGACTCGACGTAGCTTCCCAAACGCTGCCCAACCCAACCGAATTCTTCTGTTCACCTCGTCCTCGCAGTTAGGTAGAAACAACTTGTTTCTACCTAACTGCAATGTCTGCCCGAGGTACACATAATTTTGAACAACTTCGAGAACGGCACCGTGTACCGCAATCGGTTCCGGTAGTACATGTTCGTTGAACATGACCTTGGTTTCATCCAAGTTCATCCGTAGGCCGATGCGTACAGAAGTGTCAGCTAAGTCATTCAGCATTTGCTGTAGGTCATGCAACGTCTCTGCCATGATGACGATGTCATCTGCAAATCGCAAGTGAGAGATGTATTCGCCATTGATATTGATGCCACGCCCTTTCCAGTGCAGCGTCTTGAACATGTCCTCCAATGCATTTGTGAACAATTTCGGGGAAATAACGTCCCCTTGTCACACTCCTCGATGCAATGGTATGGGCCTTATTTGCTGATTCTGTACTTGGACGGACATGGTGGCGACTTTGTAGAGACATCTCATCACTTGGATGTATCGCCAATCTACTTGGCAACGCTGCAGGGACTTCAGAACAGACCAGATCTCGATCGAGTCAAAGGCTTTCTCATAGTCCACGAATGCTAGACACAGGGGCTGATTATATTCTTCGGTCTTCTGTATAATCTGCCGCACTGTGTGGATGTGGTCTATGGTGCCATATCCGCTCCGAAACCCAGCTTGCTCCGGTGGTTGGAATTCGTCGAGTCTTTGCGCAAGACGGTTCGTGATGACTCTCGAAAACAGCTTGTAGACGTGGCTTAGAAGGGATATGGGTCGATAGTTCTTCAACCTGGTCTTGTTACCCTTTTTGAAGAACAAGACGACCACACTCCTACTCCACGCTTCCGGAGTTCTCCCTTCAAACAGGACAGCGTTGAAGAGCTTTTGGAGCTCCCTTAGTACAGGTTTACGCCCGGCCTTCAGCAGCTCTGTTGTAACGTCATCCTCTCCAGGGGCTTTTCCATTTTTCAGCTGTCCAAGAGCCATCTCGATTTCGTCAATGCTAACTTCTGGCAGGTCTTCGGTGTAGTGACGTGTTAGTGTGGCTCTAGAGTCCTCATTTTCGGGATCAGGTCGAGATGCATGCGAAGCGTATAACCGGCCATAGAAGCTTTCCATTTCCAAAAGGACTGCCGGCTTCGAAGCAACGACTTCTCCACTTTCTGTAGTCAACTTTGTCAGGTGGCTTCTTCCAAGAGATTTGACCAACCCCCGATTTTGCTCGATCGCTCTTTCAATTGAAAGAGTATTGGAGCACCGGAGGTCGTGTCGTACGAGTTTACTGATCTCTCGGTTTAGAGGCCGCTTTGTCGACAAAGTGACAGGTGGATTTTCACGTCGTTTCTTCATCAGCCCTAGGGTCCTTTCTGAAAGCTTCGACTTCCTGCCCTTACCCTGCATTTCACAAAATCTCATACCTTCTTCCCTGAGGATCCGAACCATATTATTGAGGTTCTGGTTTACGTCGATTGTGGTTTCCACGGCAGCGAATCGGTTTTCTAGTTTTGACTGGAACGTTTCAGATCCTGTCATGGCTTGGAGCCGAGTTGGTCGGAGCCTGGATTTCATCAAACAGACACGTTCCGCCTTAAAGTTGATATTCAGAGAGCCCCGGACAAGTTGGTGATCACTACCGGTATTACACCTATTGATCACTGAGACGTCTCTGAATATGTGCTTTCTATCCGTCATGATGAAATCGATCTCATTTCTAGTCATAGCGTCGGGGCTTTGCCACGTCTACTTCCTTTGGGGATGTTTCTTGAAGAAAGAATTCATCAAAAACAGCCCTTCCCGTTCGAGGAAGTTGACTAGCATTTGCCCCCTATGATTCCTGCGTCCAAATCCATGGGATCCTACTACCGATTCGCCGCAATTCTGTACTCCCACTTTAGCGTTGAAGTCACCCATAACAACGTTGTAGTGGGTCTTAGTTGTGAAGTGGAGGGCCCTCGATATGTCATCGTACATATCCTCCACCTCGTCGTCCGAGTGTGCCGAGGTCGGTGCGTACACTTGCACAACCTTGAGGCTATACCTCTCGGTGAGCTTGATACCGGGAACTGGGGGCCGTGGCCTTTGTTGCGTCTGCATGGGAGGGGTTTGCCCATAATCGCCACGCTGGGCAGGCGGGTTGGCGATCGCAGGGCGTAGCTTGTCGCACCGGTAACGCTGCTGCCCGTCACCGGCCTGTTGTATTTAGCTACGCCTGTTGGGATGGATATACCGCCATCGGTCGGTCGCCAGAGCCTCGTTCGTCGTTCAGCAGGATGCACCGCGGGCAGGTGAGGTTAGCTTGGGGCGAAAGATGGTGGTTCGCCCCTCACACCGAATTTCCAATACCACCACCCCGCCGCAAACTCCGGTGAGGTGACGGCCCGAGGGGGTTTCCATACTTAAAAAAAGAAAAAAAGGTATTGGTATAGGGTTTGTTTCAAGTTTTCCTTCTCTTTTCAGTGCTTTTGTCCTACATAGTTTTCTTCCTTAGTCTACCCCGACACCCACGGGATGTACTATTCTTAATCCATCAACACATTAATTATAAGGGATAATTATTTCCTTTCATATTGTACACTTGCTGTAGACCGAGGCTTAATGGTTTAAGCCCTATCCCTTAAAGCCCACCTACCCACAAGTGGGTGAAATATTATGTAGTGTAACTATGTTTAATGACTAAATTTGAAAAGAGTATGCATATACATTTAAAATATTACACTTTATCTAGCTGGCAACTGACACTTTTAACATGCTCGTTATTTTAATGTTTGTGCTTATTTGAATATACAAATCTAAAATCTTTTCCTGTTCTCTTTTAATTCACTAATCTGGTATTTAGGCCAAAGAGCATTATAACATTTTAACCTAAAATATCCTATATAAAATGAGAAAAAAAAATGACACTCAGGAAACAATAGCAAAACCATGAGGATGTTAGTGATTAGGTACCCACTTCTATTGGGATTTCTAAATATTTGGTGCCAGGTGGAGATGGATCCTTTAGCGTAATAACCGCGCTTTTATATCGTGGTGATGTTCTTAAAGCAGGCCAGATAGATCACAAGTTTTTTTTGATGGTGGAAATAGGGTTGACGGTATAACCAGTGGAGTATTTAGCCTAGAGACAAAGGAGTACGTGGCTTGAAGAAAAACTTTTGAAACTATTAAGCATAATATTTTTTATTATTACTATTATACAAAGACAGGCATAATATTTTTTTATTCGTAATTTGCCGCAGCCGAGCCCTTAAATTGACATGCGGAATGGTAAAATACTCAGGTAATAATCAGCACTGAACATCTTGAGAGCACTTGTCATGAGCTCTAGACCGGACTTATCTGGTCCATAAATATTCTTTTCACTTAAAAAAATATTTTCATTAGAAATTATTGTATTATCTCTTTATTTACACAAATAATTGTCGATCATAGTCACGGACACATATTTATCGCACTTTTTTGTACAACAATTATGTGCGGTATAATCCGCGATAAACATTAAAATAGCTTTTGGCCTTGAACTCGCTCGCAGCGATTGCAATTCCATAACAAATTAAGTAAAGTCCTTGACTATCTATTGCCTGATTTCCTTAGGTCAGAAGTTTTGTTTTGATATGCTTGCAATAAGTC